GGTTCCTTGAGGGTCACGCGTGCGTGCGAGCCTTTGTGTGTGGGTGGACAGATAGCGTGGCACGAGAGCATCTCGCCCGGGCTGCATGCGAGCAAATCTGTTAGGGCGGCTCTTAACAGCCTGCACCGTATAAGAGCCCAGTTTGGTGTTTCTGGTTCTAGCTGTTGCTCAGGGTCATGGATAAGAAAATAAAGGCAAAATAAGCTCCAAAGTTAATGCACCAGTCATTCTTTTCCTCGGAGTATGCCTATTCCGAATTTAAGTTTGCACGTGTTTGACTTATATAAACGCTCTAGGACTGGTACTATAGGCTCTCATTCGGAGACGCCGACTGTAATAGACGATTCACATTACATTTAAGATATTAATTAGTTGGTTCCCGCAAAGGCCGTATTTAATCGAGGCCGACACAGCATTTTATTTATCTATTTCCTCTTGTGGTAGGAAACATTTTTATGTTGAAAGATCTATTTTATCTGTCTCACACATGCTAATTTAAGACGTAGGTGTCACTTTAATCTTCTTTGAATCCATGGTACTAATTCCTCTTTCGAAACCTGTCGAGCATCAGCTGAAGTTGACGGCCGGTAACCGAGCAACATTGATAATTATTTTGTGCATAAATGAAAGTTTTTAGTTGTCACTTGAGACGACAAGAAAATACATATACAGAAATCATAATAATCTATTGATGATCTAAATTAAAAAAAGTCAGGTTTCCACGCGCTCCAAGGAATTATGTCCAAGTCTTCGGGGATATGGCGTGAGTACTATTTGAAGTATCGACTTATTCGATGGAAAGGAACCCAGCTTTGCGAAACATCTGAAATTTCATTTCACCTTCAACTTTACAAGGTTGCTAGCGAGACCTTTATCTTGTTTCGAAAGGGCTGCACAGATAACCGGCGGACTATTTTGACTAAAACATTATCTTCAATAGAGGAGAATATGCGCGTGTCATGTTCTTGTTGCAAAGAAGAACATGCGGTCAACCGAAGAACAGTTGCATTCGTCTGTGCCTTCGGACTCATACAGAAAGCGATCCTCAGAGCGTATGCAAATACAATGACAACTGAGACACTTTATAGTCCGACTGGAGTTAAAGTTAGCTGGAGGAGGAGAGAAGGCGGGGGAGTCCGTGTCCACGGGGGCTTGGAATCACAGTCTGAATCATATTGTGATGATCTTGTGTCTCGGGCTGGAAATTGGTCCGTGCTATCTGGTCACGTGGGCGGGACGCAGACAGCAGGGGGAGGGGGGGGGGTTAAGGAGTTGGTTTCAGAGGCTCAAACTTCCCACTGCTCTCACTCTGCCTTTCTTTCGACCATGTGCCAGCAAACATCGAATTCATTGAGCACCGCCGCCAGGGTGGGGATAGCGTCATAAGGCAGCGGGTCGCTTTTCGGTAAGGCTCACTTGTGCCTTGCTTTTCTTGAGATGGGTTGGCACGTTGTTTGGTTTATATACTGACAAGGTTGGTCGTAACACGGGATTAGCTAAGCTTCACCCTATTGCTCGCCCGGCGTCCAATCAGTGCTTCACTTGCAGGACTCCGGAACACGTGGTTATTGCTGGAAAATGCACGCTATCCACGCCACATTCTGTAACAAACCCGCATTCTGATACATTACTTGTACATGATAAGGGGTATCACGGTGTTGGTGAGCCTCTCCTACTTTTATTCCTGATCGCATAAGGGAGGAAGCGATTGATGAAGTTCTCTGGGTAACCGTATCTTGATACCTGGTGCCAGCAGATTCCGTACTTGACACATTCGTCCCTCCTGTTTTTTGGAATATGTTTTTACCCACCGCAAGCGTGCGCTAGTACAGCAGCATATGTGCGCCATCGGGTGGTTGGTATGGTGGCTGAGGTTCTATTTTTGGGTCCCTTCAGTGCTGATTTCACCATTAGGTCTGCGCATGATGAAAACAACAAAGGAGGGCAACCGTCCAATCTTCTCTTCCTTCCTTCTCAATTAAATGTAGGGGGAAGATGTTGTTTAGTATTACCTGATAGCTTGGTGGCGTGTCTACCCCATTTATAACGCACGTGTCTTTTACATATTAGCGTCTAAACGCAGATTTTTAGTGGTTAACAGCGCCATTTCCAGCCCTTTTAGGACTGGTTCTATAAGTGGGCTGGAGATTTGTGAACTCTTTCGTGTTCTTTTGAGTTTTTAATGTGCTCATATCAATTACATACAACCAACAGATTGTCCGGAGGAGATCGAGCATGAGCGATGAGGCACTGGTGCATCGAATTTACTCTGATCCACATTCCTTCTCACAGTGAATTTTTGTTTTTTCCTGCCTTTGCATTCCATATCTCCCTTCCTTAATCTGTTTGATCGATGTACGAAGAAATTACCATAATGAACTTTCAAGGCACTGCTTGTGATCTTAATTAGCATAGAACCGATCGAAAGAAAGCCCATTTGTGTCTTGGTTGCCAAGTACACGTGCACAGCTAAGTCTATAAGTGCCAGTGAAATTTATTCTGAGGGGCATTACCGAAAAAATTCACAGGTGTTATAACGACGGGTTCAGCGTCGTTAGTGTCATAACGACGACATCTGAC